CATACATCCAAACGTGGATATTTGGTTTTGCTGAGATCTTGGAACAGGGTTGTGAATGTCACCGCTGTGTTTCTGTAAAGTTCTAGCACCTAAAGCAAAGAGATTTAAACCCAAGATTTTCATTCAAAATAAAAGTATCTTCAACCAAAACTGTCCCCTCTCAAATCCCAAACTTAAAAATCACACAAAAGAATTCCACATCCTGAAATCATGAGAATGAAAAAAACTTCCCACAAAATGTTGCTCCTTTTGCAAAAAATAATAAAAATTATCAACTGGAGATTTTTTTTTCTTTAGGTTAGATTAATATTAACTTCAGTAACAGTACTAGCAAGATATGGAGAAACCTGAAATTCTCTGAAATTCTTAAAGATAAAGTCAGTCAATTATATTACAATTAACTTAGTGCAGTAAATCCATGAATGAGGGAAAAGAGTCTCAGCAAGATACAATTTCTGGCATTTCAATTTATGCTTTATATTCTGCTTGCAATTCCATACGAATTTCAAGGGGAACTTCCCCATTCCTCTAATAAATTGTTGTTTTGGAATCATCTTTTAAGGCAAGTATGACAAAGCTCATGATTACACATAACTTCATTAGATCCAAGGAGACAGCCTTTATTTACCTGACCAGATTGTTGCTCTTATTTATCACTGTAGCAACACATGAAACTTAATGCAGTATTTACAAAGATTAGGGGGTTGGAAGGTATTTTAAATCTACCCATTAAGACTGGTATTCTTACAAGTCATATAAATAAACTCCCTAATTAATCAACTGCACATTCAGTTTTGCTTCTCCTTTGGTGTTACCCTAACAACGTTCTTAGAAGAAAGCATATTCAAACTGAACAAAAGCAGCATGCAATCTTATAAGCCAAGATAAATCAGTAACTTAAACTGATGTGTCTCTCTATTATCTGTTAGCTGAAGTGTGACCCACAAGCATCTTATTAAACACCTTAATTAAAAAAAATAATTTTGTTAAGTTCCTTTTAAAAAGGGACATTTTTTCTATCCTACACAATGAAAGACAACAATAATGTTAAAAGTGAAAATCTTTAAGATTTTGCAAGTACCTTTACTGAATTGAGATGCTACATACCTTTTGATAGCCACAAGTTCTCCTGACTCGTTGCTCTTCCCCATCAACACACTGCCATAGGTGCCATCACCTAGTTGTTTCATAATTGTGTAACGGTTCATTTCTTTTAAGACTCGAATAGCCAAAAGCTTATGAAATTCTCAATGTCTTCTGCTTTATTAAAGGATTCTATGCTCTTTGATTTTCTTAAGAGAAATCTTCTTCCAGATTGCTTTATGTTGGTGAATGCTTCTCATAACGGAGCAGGATATTCACTGGTCTCCCCCAAACTACAGGTACTTTAAGATCCAGATATGAAGTATAAGAGACACAAGAACATGGTCATTCTCACATAGATCCTTAAAATAAAATAAAATAAAAAAAAAGGAAACGACATAATTTTCCAAGATTTTAGAAAAGAGACACTACTATTTTTATCAAACTACCCCTCCAGAACTGTATGTGTTCTTTAAATAGAACACTTGATTGTCACTAGTTCCTTTAAATCCTTCAAACCACAGAAAGTACCTACTGTACGATTAGGGTTAGAGTAAGCAGAGACTGGAGAGCTAAGATTACTGTCATTATTCCCTAGAACAAGAGAAGTGTGTTTAAGGCTGGTGTATTCTGATGGAACTCCTTACTCTGAATTTGCAGACAGTAGCAGCTTCCTGATCTGTAACAAAGGCACAGTTTAAGTTTTGGATAACATAAAACCCCAAATTTTGCACAGGGTGCCATGGTAAACCTAGGGTCTCAACACTATTTTGGATTGGTAGTGAAAGTGATTTCTATGCTTAAAAAGTTAGTGAGGAAGGGAGGTGAAGCAATGAGATAACCACTTCGTTCTTCACTAAGGTAAACTAAATTGTTATAAATGTACTTGGATATCTTGCTCTGAAGTTCCCATAATTCTTAGACATGGTAATTGCTGAAGAGTTAAGTTTATTCTTCAGTTTTACAAGGGCTGCAGAGAGAAGTATAGAGTTCACATGCATTGGTATAAAAGACTAAATCTGACTTATCATTCGGAAAAGAATTCACACTGAGCAATGCTGAATGATCATCTTTGAATATATGTAAATCTTAATTTGAATCCTGATCCAAACTTGAATCTGAATCCCAGGTTTCATTATACACAATACCATCATCAATGTGTCAGATGAAGGCCAGCTGCCATAGGTCCTATGCACAAATCCTAAATTCCAACCAAGCACTGGCTACACTTTGGACACAATCCTAAAAACTGACGTTAAGACACTCAGGCAAACTCACTGTAGTCATCCACTTATTTATGCAAGTCTAGGAAAAACTAACAACCTATCACTGTACCATTTACTCACCATAACCCAAATGCCAACACACAAACAAACCACTGAATGCTGAGTAATAGCATTATCTCTACCTTTTGCCTCTGTTGTCTGAAAACACAGAATATAGCTCAAGTCAATGAAACACATGGTCAGCCCACCTTTGTAGGAGATGCAGAATTCAGCATGCAACTCTGTACACCTTAGCCTTATGCCAGAATTAGCTACAGGCTGGCCTGTCCAAACAGATTAAGGAACTCAAATTCAGCTGATAACAAGCCTCAGGCTTGAGATTTACAGGCCTGGCAAAATTTAACATTAAAATTGGTCTCTCAGGAGTGTGAACAATGCATTCTCAAGTCGACTAGCGTGCTGTGTAAACATCTGCCTGGACAATAGACCAATGTTTCTAAGCTATTATTAGTTGAAATGCTGCTTCCTCAGAGCAGTTGTAAGACACAGTGTTACTCTTATTGCTTCTGTTACCAGGAAGGAATCTCACATCAGCTGTCAAGATGCCAGTAACAAGTGACTTAGTGGACATCTCAGTCTATAATCTTTGCACCAGACAACCACCACTTTGGAATTGAAAAATACAAAGATGTTTTTACACGCAACCCTCTACACCTCCCCTCCAAAGCCATCACTATAGTAAAATACGATTTCTGGTTAATAGCATATTCTGAAACAAAGCTAAAAAGCAGATTTAACAAAAAGTAACAATCACAGACATCTCAAATTGTAACTGGATTTTAAATTGGACTTTCATATATTTAAGCCTATTGCTTTTTTCTCAGAGTTCAGCTTTATATCTCGTTCCCCAAAATGCCTGCATGCACTGAAGTCTTTAATACTTTCAATATTGCCATTTCTTCAACAAGGCTATTTTTTTACTCCAGTAATAAGCAGATGATCAAGTGTTTACTCCAAGTTAAGATACATTCTGCATGTCTATCTTGCAAATTGTCAATTGTTGGTTTTATGTATATATTAAAAACCAAATCAACATAAAAACATTCTGAAGGTATTCTTATACCCATTTTAAAACACAGCATCACATTTAAAGCACCATCAATGATAAACTGTGTATTCATTTTGTGTACAGGTATACACAGGCATATAATGTGAAGTAAACTTAAATGTAACAAATTTTGGGTGCCTGTGTTTCTCCGTTTCAACAAATATCATTATACATTGCTTAAGGCATGTTTTTTGGAGGAGATTTAGCAATATCTGTGAAAGATGGCCCTAGCTTGAACTCCTGAAGTTACATTAAAAATTTGGAGAATTTGCACGCATTTCATTTTCAACCTTTGGCTCTCTAACAAAGCAAACCAAAAAAAACAAGATTAAAACCTCTGTATATGCAATAAACAGACCAAGATCTAGACACAAATCTCAAGTTTTAACCTTTAAGTCCTCTAATTTTGGTGCCTAAACCCTACCAGCTTTCCAAGTAATTTTCTTTGGAGTATATATTAATCGCATGCTCTTACAACTATTCCTTTTGTCCAATTCTAATATTTTGGCATGTGCCCTTGAAACAACATCACATAAAGTAGTTCTCCCCTCCAGAAGTTCTGTGTAATCTCCGCTCTAGAAGTTCTGTATTGGGTGTGTGATTGTGCATTTAGTCTGTTCTGTAATGTATTTTATTTCCTTATTCCTTTTCTCCTGTATACTGTAATTTTTAGGGCACAAAAGCACTTAATCAAGTAAAGTATAGAAAAGTCAACACATTCCTTCGATAATCAAATGGAAGTGTCAAATCTACTCTATGGAAATGCACAAAACAAGGTGTGAAAACTATGTACCCTGGTAACAATGTCTATGTACTGCATACCAACCACCACACTGATGCACACTAGGCCATTCCACTATTGACTCTTATTAAAGAGTTGTCTTGGCACTTACAGTTTACAAAAGAAAGGCAAACAATGGAACTCTTATAGTGAGACATCATCAAATGAAAACTAGCCAAATGCAGTGGGAAAAAATGGACTGCAGGTATCACACTTGACTATAAGCTCTTTTCCAGCTTTTAAGAGAATACATCCATCATACACATGTATCTAAAAAACCTGACAGGGTTCTTTGGACACTAAGTGGTCAATTTTACAGCAATGTTATGGCACACCATAGTCTGTAGGAAATGCTGGAGGGTAATAGAGGTTGGCTGACCAAAAAAAGGCAGCACTGATTCCTGCAAAACTTACTGCCACTGCCTACCCATATTAGAACAAATGAGGCTGCCAAGCACTTGCATTTTTCAGCCTGATCTGACATCAGGGTCAGGGGCTTCTTTCACTTTTACTAGAGTTACAGAGCACAATGAGTTAGAACCTAAATGGCTCTAGAGATTCACATTTCACTACAGACTTCTGCATACTTTGCACTTTAAACCACATGTGCCCAGCTCAGGTGAGAATTTTTTTTCCTCAGTGGTCTCTCTATATTGTCTTTTTCAAATGTGCAGTTCAGTTTTCTCTTTTTTACCAACCTGAGGGGAAGCAAGGGCTCAATCTAGCTTTTCTGGTTAGCACAAGCCTCTGAAGTGGCCTTTCCCATTCTAATGCTTATATACTATTATTTCCCCAGTGATATGAAGCTCTAAAATGTAAAATTATCATAATAGTCAGCTACCAAACTGGAAAGAGAAATCCTACTCTAAACAACAGCTTGTTTTATACTCTTAATGACACACTGTGCATAATCTCTTCACATAGGATTAAGGAAGGATTAAAACAAGGGACAAATAGAGGACAAAATACAATAGCTTGACAGAATCTATAATTTGTGTAAATTTAGAGGATCTGAACAAATACTAAGTAATTTAAGCAGAATTTCACTTTTACTGTATTAATGGTGCTTTAAGCACTAGCAACAATTTGAAATTGTTTTAGTTGTCTGAATTACATTTCAAAATGCAATGATTAACAGTAAATCGCCTGCATTTCTTCTGTACAAGTACTACACATTCCCAACCATTTCATATTTGCATGCTAAACAGGCTACTCTCAAATAAATAGAAACTAGGATATATGACCCAACAAAGATCTCCCACACAGATAAGCAGAACACCCACAACTCAGTCTCACCAACCTGTTTACAGTAATCCCGAAATCGCCAAAACCGTTCGCAGAGGATGGTACTATTCTCAATGATCAAAACTGGCAGTACTGCACAGTACAGAATGTATGCTGATACAAATTTTAAAAGTAAAAAAAAAAAACCAACTCAAACTCAACCACTAAACAACAAACAATTTGGTGCTACAAGAGCCTTCTTGGTAGTGACTGTATATTACTAAAGCTGACAGTAATCAGATCCCATGACAGGTGGATCCAGTTCTGGAGATTACCGCAAATCCATTACTCTAATCAAAGACCAGCAGTTATTTAAAAGCCTGACTCTCAGCTGCAAGAAAGAAGTCAATAGCATTGACAGTAAATACTTGTACTTTTAAATAGACTCTCTTAAATAAATTTTTTTAAAAGTCTCTTCAAAAGTCTAGTATATTGTTTCATTTGTTTGAATCAGGCCTTTAGGATGGGGCACATCAAAAAGGAAGAATTAGAGTTTTCTCTGAGTATTTTCCCTTGTTTTCTTCCAAACCAGCTTTGGTTTCAAACAAAAATGATTCACAACAACTTTCTCAGGATGTTTCATCCATGCCAGCAAGGCTACCTTTTCCCACCCCCATGAAACCTCTTCCTGCGATGCAGTGAGCAGTACAGCAAGTTTCAGGGCAGCAATGGTTTCAGTGCTGCTGGACCTTGAAGTCTGCAGCCTTGCACAGTGCCCAGAAGGAACATGAACTACTCATCTTTCAGCATCTCCATACCACTGTAAGTTTCAATAAATCACAGAATCACACAATTGTTAAGGTTGGAAGGGACCGCTGAAGATCATCTAGTCCAACCACCATTACACAGGAGCACATCCGGGTGGGTTTGGAATATCTCCAGACAGGGAGCCTCCACGACTTCCACTGGCAGCCTGTTCCAGTGCTCTGCCACCCTCAACATAAAGAAGTTCTTCCTGTTGATGAGGTGAAACTTTCTGTGCTTTAGTTTATGGCCACTGCTCCTCATCCTGTCACTGAGCACCACCAAAAAGTCTGGCACCATCCTCTCGGCACCTGCCTTTGAGATATTTCTATGCATTAATGAGATCCCCCTCTCAGTCTTGATAATGGAAACAAATGCTTCTTTCCACTTTAGTTTCACCTGATGACGTTCAGTCACTTCCCAAGAGAGTACCTTCCTTAACACACGCTCACAGCAGAAAGGGGAGCACAGCACTCCTCGCGCTCACTCAGGCTATGCAACTCAGCACCACCCGGCCTGCAAGTTTCACCCCGGTTCTCCCAAATGAAAATTCACCTCCTTTCATTAACCCTGGGCATTTCAGGCCATCAAGGCCCGGACCTGACCTACTGAAGCCAAAGCAGGTAGGATCCCTCTCTCTGCAGGCTCCACACCCAAGCAGCGCCGTCTCTCCCAGCCCCAGCACTACAGCAGGACAGCTCCCTATACACGCGAGTGAAGCCCGCCAGCGAGCCGGCCCACCCCAAACCAGCCTGGGGGCAGAGAGCAGCCGTCCTCTTCGGGGATGGATAACAGCCCCCGGGGCTGTTCCCGCTCCAGCCTAAACCAGCACCTCCTTCGTCCTGGGGAGGACCCCCAAGACGACCCAGCCCCCGGGTGACGAGGAGACCCACCTCTCTCCACCCTCCCCGCCGCCCCGGAGCGCAGCCGCCCACTCACCGCGGCGCTGCGGGCGGTGCCACCGGGCGGTCCCCGCCGAGCCCCCCGGTCCGAGCGCCCCCGTCCGCCCGCGGCCTCTCCCGGCCGGGCCGCTCTGCCCCGTCGCCGGGGCGACGGCCGGGGCGGGACCCGCCGCCGGCAACGCCCCGCTCGCCGCGGTCACGGGGCGCGGCAGGCGGGGCGCCAGGGCAGCATCCCAGCCGGAGCCGGGGAGGTGGGTGAACCCCGCCATGGGAAAAGCGGGGACGGGTCGCGACGCTGTGGGAAAGCGAGTGGTGCACAACGCGATGTGCGCATGACGACGAGAGCCACGTCACGGGTTCCCTGAAGGTGGCACCGTGGTACGCGAGATCGTTTTCAGACTGTCTTTACTATCGTTACTGTTAATAGTAATAGTAATTATATATTAAATATATAATTGGTGTTCTGGTGAGACCCCACCTAGAGTACTGCATCCAACTCTGGCGTCCCCAACACAGGAAGGACATCGAGCTCTTGGAGCAAGTCCAGAGGAGGGCCACCAAGATGATTAGAGGGATGGAGCACGTCTCCTGTGAGGAAAGCCTAAAAGAACTGGGATTATTCAACCTGGAAAAGAGAAGGCTTTGGGGTGACCTAATTGCAGCCTTCCAGTACCTGAAGGGAGCCTACAAGGAAGATGGAGAGAGACTATGTACAAGAGCATGTAGTGACAGGACAAGGAGGAATGGGTTCAAACTGAAAGAGAGTAGGTTTAGATTAGATATTGGGAAAAAAATCTTTACTGTGAGGGTTGTAAGGCACTGAAATAGGTGGCCCAGGGAAGCTGTGGATCCCTAGAGGTGTTCAAGGCCAGGTTGGGTGGGGTTCTTGAGCAACGTGATGTAGTGGAAGGTGTCCCTGTCCATGGCATGGGGGTTGATCATCTTTAAGATGATCTTAAAGATCCCTTTCCAACCCAAACCATTCTGTGATTTTATGATTCTATGAAATAAAGCCGCCAGCTAAGCTGCTGCATAGTTAGCATTTGCACATAAATTCCCACCTCTGGTATTCACAGCTGTAATGTAACCTGAGGAATTTTTTTCCCCTAGCATTTATTTTATTATTACTATTATTATTTATAGTAAGCAATTTATTAAAATGCACATTGCTAATACTGATGCAGGGGAGAAACTTTGAATGCTGTATGTATTCTAAAACATAAGAGTACTTTTGGCAGGGAAGTCTTGTTTTAAGCTTCAATTCTTAACATTAGCTTGAACTTCCTATTTTTTAATGTTTTTCAGAGCAAGGGGCAAGAAAAGGAGGAGATTATTTTGACACAGTAACTACTAGTAACACCATAGAGGGAAAGGCAAAAATTGTTTTAGAAATTCAGATTCCTATCTACTTCACCAAGCTGAGCAAAAATGGGAAGCTGTCTTCATTATACTTTTGTTTTTGTTATATTTTTGTTTTACCCTCTCCCTCATTAACTGGTGTGGTAACTTTGTGATGGTTTAAAAACTGTTGACAGATTAATTGATTCTACCTCAAGTCAACTGGGTGGAACGTGGGGCTACGGGAATCAGTTTTCTGGAATCCAGAGGATTCGACCACTTGCACATACGTTGCTGAAATGAAAGTACAAGAAAACAACATTATATTTTCTGAAACAAAATATGCCTGTTTTCTTTACTGAAATAAAACATCAGAGGTGACTGCCAGGTAAAATGAAGTTCAAAGGTGAGACTTGGACATGAGAAAGAAGGTCCCATAACCCACAGGTTACCTCAGGCAGAGATTCAACAGGAGATGATTGTATGTAGCAAAGCATTTAACCATGCAGTAACCAGTAAAAATGTGTTTGAACACTATTACATGTATACGTTACATGTGTGGAAATACCTCTCCACTGCCAGTGGAAATGATACAACAGCAATGTCCTCTCCCTGCCCTTGTGTCCTTTCCTCACTCTACAGTTAGCAATGTTCCATGACTATTGTTCTTCCTCCTCTGGTGCTGCCACCCAATTTCATAGAATCATAGAATGGATTGGGTTGGAAGGGATCTTAAAGATCATCTAGTTCCAACCTCACTGCCCTGGGCAGGGATACCTTTCACAAGACCAAGCTGCTCAGAGCCCCATCCAACCTGGCCTTGAACACTTCCAGGGATGGGGCATCCACAGCTTCTCTAGACAACCTGTTTCAGTGCCTCACCACCCTCACAGTGAAGAATTTCTTCCTAATATTTAATCTAAACCCATCCTCTTTCATCTCAAAGCCATTCTCCCCTTGTCCTCTCACTACATGCCCTTATAGAAAGTCCCTCTCCAGCTCTCTTGCAGGCCCCCTTTAGGTACTGCAAGGTGCTATAAGGTCCCTCCAGAGCCTTTTCTTCTCCGGGCAGAACAGTCCAACTCTCTCAGCCTGTCTTCTTAAGAGAGATGCTCCAGCCCTCTGATCATCTCTGTGGCCCTGCTGTGGACTTGCTCCAACAGATCCATAGCTTTCTTTTGTCCCCAGAGCTGAATGCAGCGCTGCAGATGGGGTCTAACAAGAGCACAGTAGAGGGGCAGAATCACCTTCTCGACCTGCTGGCCACGCTGCTTTTGGTGTAGCCTAGGATATGATTGGCTTTCTGGGCTGCAAGCTCACATTGATGGGTCATGCTGAGCTTCTCATCAACCAACACCCCTCAGTCTTTCTCCTCAGGGCTGCCCTCCATCCATTGCCCCCCAACCTCTGTTTGTCCTTGGGATTGCCCCAAACCAGGTGCAGGACCTTGCTCTTCATAGAATCACAGAATATTCTGAGTTGGAAGGGACCCACAAGGATCATCAAGTCCAACTCTTAAATGAATCTCCTGTACAGGGATCGAACCCACAAGCTTGGTGTTATTGGCACCATGTTTTAACCAGCTGACTTGGCCTTGTTGAACTTCATGAGGCTTACACTGGCCCACCTCTCAAGCCTGTCCAGGTCCCTCTGGATGGCATCCCTTCCCTCCAGCATGTCGACTTCACTACACAGCTTGGTGGTGTTGACAAATTTGCTGAGGATGCACTTGATCCCACTGTCCAAGTCACCGACGAAAATGACAATGCTTTTGGTTACTTGTTCAGCATTTCTAGTCTAATTACAGCCACTTATAAGAGACCTCACACAAACAAGGGGTCTGATGTTTAAATAATTTCTGAATTAGTTTTGCACAAGTGAAACACTTAAGTTTAAGTTCTGTTACTGGGACCTTGTGTCTGTCAGTTGTTGGTACTTTTTGTAATGCTCCCCAACATTCACACATATGAAGAGAGAACACCTGTAGACAGAACTTGCCAGTGTTTAAGCTAGACTGACACGTGGTGTGGAGTTGCAGGACAAGCACTGCAAGCCAGTCACTTAACACTTCATTTTGTCAGGAAGACAGGAGAGAGGTGCTGTTCTGTGCTCTTGCTATGAACCAGGAAACTGAAGGAAAGACAACAGGCTGGAACAAAGAGACCCAGGAACCACAGCGATATTTGTGAGCCCTGCTAAAGGACCTCTGAGAACATCCTCATGCACCTGCTTCCCTGCTTGTTTTACAAAACAAGAGAAGCAGACTCTCTGCTGATTTTCTGTTGAAAGAACCTTCTTTGGTTGTGGTCCTTAAAAGTGTTGATGCTTTGCTCAAATGCCAGCCAAAATAGCTGAAACTGGCTTTCCCAGACACCATCACAAGTGCCAGCACGCATGTTGAAGCTGATAGGGATTGTGTAAACTTTATTTTTCTGCTTGTTTAAATGAGTTTGAGCCAAACAAGTGATGTTTCTATGTGATACTTACTCACACCTGTATCATCCCACTGATCTTTGTGTTGCATGTGGACTCTTGTGAGTCTATGAAGGTGCCATGTTGAAATGCACTCTCCATTTTGCACAATCTCGGCTATAGCACTACGTAAACAGTGCCTGGTTTACTCTCCCTTTGCTTGTGAGCAGCAGGAAGATACTTAGTTTATACAGCTAGAACACTGAAGGCGGTAATCCAGCCATTGATAACCACTGTACACCAGTCTCATTATTTCTAAGGCAAAGGGATTTTAACAGACCCGGACTAACTTTTCACTCTGTATGTTGGGAGGAACTAATCCAACACTAAATGTCTCAGTTCTCCCCTTTTTATCTGCATGTGACTTCTACTGATAAGGGTGGGAATGACATGAACTTTCCTAAAAGCATCCCTAGAGCTGCACTGGGCATCCTGCTGAATGATGTCTCTCAGGAAACATAATCTACTTTTGTGAAAGCTGTTTCAGTTTTATTAGATTGCTTCCCCAAAAAAGGCATGAAGAAAAAATCTAGAAATCCAGAACAAACCCCAGAAAATCCCCAGGAAGAAAAAAGTCTCAAATCATATTCTGCTATGTTACATTGGTGGTTTCCACCCCTGAAACTCAGAGGAAAGCTTGTCTCTGTCTTTAAAGATGACAGTTTGTACCCCAAAACAAGGAGATTAACTGCTTCAAGTACAATAAGCCCAAAACACCCAAGTTCCTTCATGCCTTCTTTGTAGCATGTAGCATGTTTAAAAAGCCCAGAGGTAACTTGCTTTCAGAAGAGGAGCAAGGGCTAAGCAAATTGCTCAGGCTCTCACCGGAGGTCTTTGGCATGACTGGATGGAGAGCAGGACAGTGTGCCAGGCTCTGTCCTCCCACCAGGAGGAGATGGGACCATGAAAAGAAGCACACACGTTTGTCAGATGTGTGACACATGCCTGCATATGGTGGGTACACGGTTATTATCACACAGCCTCTTGTCTCTAGGAGGCACCCATTCAGCACTTGTGCTTTTAAACTTTGTCATTAGGAGGCTGCTGTTTTGATACAAAGGGCAGCCTCAGCATATGGGGACAGATGGTACTTTACCTCAGTAGGGCCCTTGTAACTTATATGAAGCCGGAGCCAGAGGAGGCTGAGATTTGAAAACACCTTTTCCCCTGCTCCTTCTGTGACTTCACCATAACAACAGGAATTTGTTAGATGAAGACGTCTGCCGCAGTCAGTACAGGATGCAGGCTGACAAGGGGCTCCTCTCACGTGCTCAAGGCAGGACCACAAACCTGAAAGGTCCCCTGGAA